CCACATTTCCCATGAGCTGCATACTTGGAAGCAAAGTGTAGCACTGAATTTATCACAAAATAAAGAATGAATTAATTAGGAACTAAGTGGATCACCTGTACAAAATAAATTAAACTAAAACAAACGAACTATTTTGCATAGAAGAACATTCCAGCTTCATTTTTACTTTAAGATGAGAACAAAATTGCTGTTTGTTTTACAATCTGATATACTGTCCCAGTCATGCCAAGCTTGTTCACCAATCAGAGTAAGTTCTTACTGTCATCAGCACTGAAATGTAAATATAGCAGCTTAAGAGTAAGACATAGGCAAGCCTGATTCATCAATAAAATTGTCAACCTAGGCCAATTCTCATACGGCTATTGTTAGTGATTATGTATGAAACCAGAAAAACATCCAACGGGCAAAGATCTGGGATTTGTGTTAGGAAATCCCTCTTTAAGATTTTAATCTCATTATGCAATAAAAAGCTATTTTAAAAAGTCAAATTTTGCCCCAAAAGTTCCTTTAGAGATCAAATCCCAGAGATATGTTAAGTTGGGAATTCAGGAATGTAAAGGTCAAATGTCAAGCCTAAAGATATATATGATGGAATCTCATTACTTAACTGCTTTTAAAAAACCCCAAAACACCATTAACAAAATGCTGTGAAACCTACACACTCCAATATACATATTGTATAATGTGATATAGCTGTTAAGTATTTTTAAGATAATATACCTTATTCTTGATTTTCATTTCCAAAACAACTGCATTCACACTTATGTAAGAGTAATCCCCATCTCTAATAACCTCAATGGAAATTACTTCCAAGTAAAAAGCCATTGTGAAAATAGATGATACAAGATTATATATTACTGCATTGGTTGTGATTACTGCTTTTGTATACATGGAGTAGCTTTGACTGAAGAAGTTTATAAATTCATAAATAAAGATGCATCAGCAAGTACACTGGATTCATACTCCATAGCAATGTCCCAACCCTTAAATGTTACTATATAATGGTTCATTTAAAACAAGTCACTTAGCATAGGCAGTTTGATTCATGAACTAATAGTACAACTTAATTCACTATGAAGCCCACAGACTACTGAGAGAGACTACACTGCAAATGCACCATATTGGAATACTGCATGAACACATTCAAAAAGTGATACTGGTAAATCACTTAAAATTTATCCCTTTTGATTTAAATACAGTAACTGATCTATGGCAGATTTTATGGGGCCATAACAAACTCCAATTTTATCCAATTCTTTTATTTCATGCTACAAATGGGTCTTTTAATCATTGAGTAAGATTTGTAGTTAGTTCACAGTGCCTAGAAAAATGCATACCTTATTAGAATAATGTTTTCCAAGTTACTATAACCCAACTTTACTCAATCTGGGGTTCTCCAGATGTCTTAGACTACAGCTCTGCCTATGTTCAACCAGCATAACTATTAGTTGTGTTAACTAGGCTTAATAGCAGTTGCAGTGCAATACACCTGGAAATATCAGCCTGGGGAAAGCAGGCCCAAGCCATTACAATAATATAGTTTAGAAGAAACTCAGTAGCATAAACTAAAGGAAATGTGTGCCTTCAACTCCTGGCAACTGCCTATAGTTTCTTGACAACATTTTTGGAAGTGGCTTGCCAGTTTCTTCTTCCTAAGAGAGTGTGACTGGCCCAAAGTCACCCCACTGGCTTTATGCCTAAGGTGGGAATAGAACTCAGTTTGTTTTCTAGCCTGATGTCTTAACCACACCAAACTGGCTCTCAATCTAAAATAAATTAGGTTTATTTTAGGAACAGTGCAAAGACAATGGGGCATATGCATGTGTGTTTTGCTAGCTAAAATAACATTACCTAATGAGGAAAACTTAATTTGCATCACATATTATTTCCATGTACTCCAATAAAATGAAACTTTGATTTAATGGACCATTTGTGTACAGGGGGTCCATCTTTCCCAAGTGCCCATTAGATACTGAGGTATTTTCTCATAATGATGCAAATGACAACATTTAAATTTAAAAATTAAATTTAAAAAACTATTTTTTTAAAAAAATGCCTTGTCTGGACTACTTTGGATACAACAGTCATGTCCCATATTTCATGGGGATGTCTGGTTGGAAATGCTGCCAGTGGTATCCAAAGTGTATTAAACTGGGAGAGAGGTTATCCATTAAATTGAGGTTTCTCTATACATTTTCCCCCTATATTTGACAGCTGTGGCTTGCAAGGGAAGTATCAAATGTGAAAGCCACAGGGAGAACTGCTCTACACCCCAAGGGTGGATGTTGCAAGTGGAAAAAATAGCGCTAGAATACAAATGAGCATATTCTATGTTGTTAGAATATGAATGAGCATTACATTAGAGTATTGTATATAGAATCTCACAATCAAAGCCAGATTCACTTATAGTGTTAAGCAATGTTATGGTTTGTTTTAGTCTTGATGTGATGTGCAAACCTACTCATTACAGTTTTATGTTATATTTCTGAATCAGACTACAAAGACTTGTTCAACAAAACACAAATAAAAATCCTGTACTCACAGTATGTATGAATGAAACCAAAAAGAGAAGCTCAAGAGCTTAGGTTTGTAAGCACAGTGAAATAATTCCAGAAAGTCAGGTCAAAAATTATAGATTCAGAATAAGCCTTCTGATTTCAGAATATCAAAACCCGAAATTGTTTTTAGAAAATATTATGGTCAGCAGTTTTAGCAAGAAAAAATGATTTGCTGCACTAACGTATACAATTTCACTTTAAAAATTACTTACCAGTATTCCACTACAAGCAGAAGCAAGAACAATGCTCAGTCAGCAGTTTTCTAGAAACCAATATGAAACTGTAATAAACATTATCTATCTTTCCTAGCACCTGAATACTATCTTGGAAAATGTGCACTGGCTCCATTGCATATCTTCTGTACCATCAGAAATGACTAACTTTTAAATAACAAAGTACTGAATCCGTAACAATTTGATAAGGTGTTTTCATTTTAAATCTAGTTCACCTAAAACTTCCCCACTAACAATTATCATATTTGCAGTGAGGAAGTATTTCAACATGAAGAATTCAAGACAAAGCAATTTCATATACAACTCAAATTACAGATATACATTCTGAAATTTAAAATGTATTCAGAATTGTGTATTCTATTCCTGTTTGATCAGAGACAGGCTATAATGGTGCTAGCACATTCATACAAGAAGCCAGTTTTCCTTATTGCTTAGTAGCAGGCTATAACACAATTACAGATAATATGATCTGCAAAGAAGTATAGAAACTTTGCCTCCAATTTGCTAATCCCTACTATGTTTGTCCCCAAGGTACACGCATACTTCAGACTGACAATAAATACTCAATTATGTTCTTTTTAAATAACAATGATACATTCATAAGCTATTTAACAATTCACATAGTCTGGAACTTGAATAATCACATTGGAGTAGAGCATGAGGGCAATCTTCACACATGACTTCTAAACTGCATTAAATGGTTGATGTAGACAACACTAAAATATATAAAGTGGTGTAAAGAAAGTGTAGATGAATAATCCTACTAAATAATTCTTAAACTGACAATGAATTACAGAAATAACCAGTTCTGAACAGTTTTATCTAAAATGAAACTTTGGGAGCTTGAGCTGAAGTCCAAAATGTTCTATAGATGAATTACTGCATTTAACTTTTCCTGAACACAATTCTGCAGGTTGTATCAAGAGCTAAAGCAAACAAAGGAGAAAGTTTTATCAACAGTGATACTGAATACAAAACCTTGATAATGCAACAATTGTTCTAAGCATATTTTCCTCTTCTGTATCTAAACTTGTGTCAATCACATTCAATTAATAACACTGAATTGTTTAATAAGGTGAATCCATTACAAAACATTCAGCTATATTTATCTTTCCTGCATTCAAAATTCTAATGGAACTTAACATTTTCCTTTCATGGAACCTAACAAGCTTCTAGTTTACTATTAACTTGCAATCAAACTAAATGCAGAAAAGAAGCATTTATTTCTTATGTCTTAAGACCTCTATCTATTAACATGTTTCTTCTACAGTACATGATTTCTTTGATAGTCTATTTAAAGTGACAGACCAAGCCAAATGCTTGGATTCAACATACAGTGTGCTTTTCATTTTAAACTTCCACAGAACAGACATCTTTATCTAAGTTGTTTGACACTGTTAAAAATATCATATATTTTATCTAAAATAGAACAGTCTTTTTTCCAATATATATGAAATCAGTAAATTTACTATTTAAAGGTGGATAATTCCTCTTCCACTACTGCCCCCAAAGGGAGCTTAGCTCTCTTATTACCCAAGTGAATATCAGCATCAAAGTTCAAATGGTTCCTTAAAGGAAATACAAATTAGATATGAAAAATATTTATTTAGATAATAGCGTTCATTACCTGTCAGAACAAATGACCCATTCTTTCTCCCAGTATGTTTATTCATGATCCCTTTTTTAGCAATTAATATATTTTACATTTAAGAGTATATGTTCATTTCCCAATTCTCCATTGTATTCTGAAAATGTGTATTTCTAAGCGTGAGGGGCTTATTTTGAAAAAGGTGATAGAAAAAGTAGGATCCCAAAAACAATAAAAAAGAAAGGTTATTACAGGCAGGCCTCATAAGAGCTTTTTTACTGTTGACATTTTGCAACAAACAACCTATAAAAACAACCATTATCAGATTTTCAGCTTCCATAAAACAAATGTTACTGCAGTAGAGAATTCCCAAGGTAGTATCATGCTATATTTTAAATGAATGTTAACTATTTCTCTATATATTATCAGTATTATTACAACTGCTTACACTGATTTTTTTCATTGAAAATAGCAAAGGAAAAGATTTTTTTTCAATAACCTAAGGATCTGCATTATCACATACACTCTGTATGATAGAGGTTAAACATTAATTATTAAAATGGTATTCAGTTACTATGAAACTATAGATTGTACCAATGAAGAATCCTTAAATGCACTCACATTTTCAGTGTCGCGTTCATTCACCGTGGGCAATGGAGTTCTAGTGGACATTTTCATTCACTTAAGCTGAAGCACCGTTTGCAATGGCAAAATCCAGCTATGTATTATATAAAAATAAAAAAAAATCCTAACACCTCCCTCCCTCCAAATACATATATATATATTTACAAAAAAATGTGATTTTACAGCATGATAGCGGTTATCAAGTGCCACCATCAAGAAAAAGGGAGTGTGGGGAGAGAAATTTGAGTTTTTTCCTCCACCACCGCTACCCCTCTTTCTCATCTATATTCCAGTCTGATAATGGAGCATTGTATTCCCCTGGGAATCTTCAGGAATCATCCTATAGACAGATTACGGTCCTTAGAAGTTGGGGATGACAGATTAGAGAAGATTCTCATGGAGCACCAAAAGAAAACATGGGCCAAAAATTGCCCGGTGCCGTAAGAGGAAGAGAAAGCGGGGAACGAACTAGCAACTCGCGAGCGGGAGAGATGGAGCAGCACGCGAGAGTGCAGGGCGCTGCAGCAATACAGCCCAACTAGCAGGCTGCTGAGGAAGGGAAGTGAGAAACCAACAGTCGCTTTCCGCGCAACCACTGTCGGCTGCGAAAGCAGCAAGGAGCCACCCAGAGTTGGTCAAAGGAGCGGGCCGAGCCCCTCAACCTTTCTATCTCTACGCGGATCGCTTCATCGGGCCTCGGCTCTCATGTTTTAATTGCGCCCCCTCCTCTTCCTTCTTCTCCAGCAGAACTCCCAACTCCTCTTTGCCGCCTACCCCAACCCCAAAGAGGCCGGCTCAGGCCCAAGGAGAAAGACTCTTCCGCCACAGCCTGGAGACTCGCTGGGTGGAAAAGAGGAGAACCCTCTGCCGCCGCGCCGCCGCCAAACGAGTTCCCTTTGCTCCCTCAATCAGTAGCAACAGCGGCAGCAAGAGCGCCGCTGCTCCCAGATGATCCAAGATGGCCGCCCGGCTTCCTCTGCTCCTACATGAACCGGAAGAGACCACCCCTTGCACGGAGAAAGGCGGCGGGGAGGGAGAGGCCGAGGGCGCAAGCGCAGGCAGGTGTGCGTGCTCGGGTCGCCTCTTGTTGCTAAGGTGTTTGGCGGAGTTGGAGGGGAGCTTTCCGCGTTGAGGAAGGAAGAAAGTGTTTGTGCTCCTCTTTTGACAGACTGAGGGCTGAGGTGTCCGCAGTCGCCCGCACAACTTATGCTCCCCTTAAGGTTTCGATCATTTTTATTACCGAACTTGGGCGTATCCAGAGAAGAGGCTCTGCGAATGGTTAGAAAATCGAATGTGGAAAAACTAGCCATGGTTAACCTGCACATGAGAACATTCAGGAGAGGTTTAAAGGTACCGTAATTCTAGTATCTGAAAAGGTGATCTGTGTAAGAGCAGACTTGGTTTTCGCTGCTCCAAAGGGCAGTTCGGTACCCGTGAGTGGAAAAAGCAGCTTTTGTTTCCTAAACAAATCGCCTTCGGAAATAGTGGATTCATCTTCATTGGAGTTATTTGAACTGAGGTTGAACAACCATTTCTCTGGAGAGGCAGCTGTGGCTGCAATCAGCAATACAGATCGTTAGGGAGGAAGCCCCTTAGAAGAAGCTCTGTCTCTTCAGGAGAGTGTATTTTCAAATAAGACATGAGTTGCCCATTCTTCAACAGTACATAGGGTACTATAATCAGAAAAGAGTCTATGTCTTGCCCTATAACAGCAAAGAAGAATTATTCTAGTGATATATTATGGTGAGAATGTTCAGGACTTCTGGAACCTACCAAAGGAGATAGCAGATGTGTTTTTCTCAGTTGTAGATATAAGAAACTATTTCATTTACTTCCTATTGTAAAAGTATTTTGCATATTGTATGAAGTGCTTCGCCTTTGAGAAATTCACTCCAATTTACCAGGAGTGCTTGAAATCATGGCAATTTATTGGGAGGAAAAATAAAATTGATCCACAATAGCCTTTAAATATATAAAGTATACTCTGAACTTAACTCTAATATTTCCATGTAAGTAAATGCTCTTGACTCCTAGGATAGTTCCATACAAAGCCTTTGCCACTTTGAAAGCTACTTTAGTTCAATTCTACTTTAACTGTTTCCAGTAGTTGACCTGATTTGTTTCTAACACAACTGCAGAATAATTGAAACTGCAGTTATATGAAGCTTTGCTTTAAAATGCAGTAGCTCTCTGGAGCTTCTGGAATGGTCTGTTTCCCCTTTACCAGAAAAAAAAAAAGTACTTTATTGTGCTTCCCAGCTCCTGGGCTTAATTGGTCTTTCAAGGAAAAATATGGCATAACACCTTGACCATGAAAGAAATTATCCCACCTACGAAAAGGAACTCTGAGGTCAAACCCACAAGAAGGCAATGGCAAATCGCTTCCATAGCATTGCCAAGAATATTGTATAAAAGTGGCTGTAACATTTGATTTGCGTTTGGATGCCAGATTGAGACATATCTATCAGTAGGAAAGTAGTCTTCTAAGAGCTGAGAGAGAGTACAGAACTTCAGAGATTGATCTGAAGGCAATAAAATATAGTAAACCACAAAGAAATCTGGTAATTCAGGATATAAGTATTGAAAGAGTAGTTGTTTTCTTTTCAAGACACATAATAGGAACATGGAAAATGAAAAGCATAAACTAAGGAAACATTGAAGTTGTCAAAGCAGAAACAGAGCATGCTAAAATGGATATTTTAGGAATAAATAATTTAGGTAAACTGAAACAGGCCATTTTAAACTTAGATGATTATGTAATATTGTACACTATTCAGAACTGGCAGCTGCACTAGGTAACCCAGATCAAGAAATCAACTCTATAGGAAGAGTAGAACTACCTTCATTGAGACCGGCTATAATAATAGAATCTTGCAAGTCTGATTGTGCTCTACTTCCCTCCCTTCTTATATTCCCATGAATCAAGGAAGTGTCTGCCTGAGCCACTTCTAAATATTATCTTGTTTTCCAAGGCTTAAAAAATGTTTCAGCCCCCTTTGCCTAGGTAACAATTCTTGCATATTTCCATCATGGTCATTGTCCTTACTATCTACAAAAGCATGAGTCCATATGAAAGAATGAAGTAGCAGTGTTATTCAGAAAAGACTTTGTGAAGCATGTGTTTGGCAGTAAACAACAGGATCACATCTATTGTAGTTAGAAAACAAATACTACACCATTGTATATACCTACTGCAGGGGAGGAATGCTTTGAGGAACTCTATTGCATATTGTAAGAAGTACTAGATGCAACATGAAGAAATAATGTAGTTGTTGGTGATTGGAATGCAAAAACTAGAGAAATGGAGGAGCCTACAATGAGTGGAGATGTAACTATAAAGTTTATAAATTATGTAATAGAATTTTGTAAAGATAATTGTTTATTGCCAAACCCCACTTCAAGCAACATAAACACAGACTCTTTGCACAGATATCACTAGATCATACCATCGGAATCAGGTAGGATATGGAAGATGAAGACATGCAATTCAGTCAGCTAGAACTGCAGGTGCAAATTGTGGAGCAGACCATAAAGGGTGATGTCAAATATATGGGTTAAACTAAGAAAATATAAGGAAGGAGTTGTGCCATTAAAATATGACCTAGATAACATATAATCAAAATATAAGATTTCTTTGATTATTTATGACAATAAGTTGCTTCAATCAACCAATAGTAATGGTTGATTGAAAAAAGCTCTGATAGAGGCAGAATGAGTTAAAGGAAGATGGAAACACCCTTTCCCATGAGGATTATAGAATGACAGAAACATTTCTAGAGAGAATATATTCAGGCAGTGAAACTAGTAGAAAGTGAGGTATGGTGAGCAATAGATAGGCTGTCGAATAGGAGAGCACCAGGTACAGCTAAAATACCCATTGAACTGTCTAAAGCTGTGGAGGAAGAGGCAGTTAAAGTGTTCACAGCTCTATGCCAGCAAATAGGGAACAAGACTGTTTGGCTTTGAGATTGGAAAAGATTGGTACCTATACCTGTACTAAAGAAGGGAGATTCAAGAGAATGGCAAATAGTAAAACAGTTAAAAAGAAGCTACTGTAAGAACTGTTGGTAATGGAGTGAGACAAAGATGCATATCTTATTTAATTTATACAATGGTTATATTATAAAATGACAGAACTGGAAGAAAAGGTGGCTGGAATCAGTTTATCCTAGAAAAAATAAAGACTAACCTCTCAACAAGTAGAAACTCAGATATCTTGGGCATGTAATAGAAGCCGATGAAGGCCTAGAAAAAACTAATATGCTTGTCAAGGTTGAGGGAAATAGATGAAGGGGAAGAAATGGATAAAGCAGACGAATGGGATCAAAGAGATCCTGGAATGTCCTTGGAGGAGCTATGAATTAATACCAGTGACAGGTTAGGAAGGCAAGCATCTGTCCATGCTGTCAGGAGGTAGTGGCTCCTAGCTACTGTTCTGTATTTTGAGGTCAGCAGATTTGAAGATCATAAATCCTCTTCATACTGCTTTTGAGAAATTGGGGAATAGAAGCAGAGGTGATATAAAATATAGAATATAAAATTTTCTGTTCAATCCCATATTGTAAATTATCACTACAGCTTTATTAAATGTGCTTTAGAAGTACAGTTCCAAACATCATTCCTCACATTGTGTTGCCTCTGGCTATTTGTTGTAGCTTCTGATTTCATTGTGCCTTTCACATACAGCAATTTTTTAAAGAGTACCAAAGGATGCTTTCGTATAAATATGTAGGTGATTCTAGCATCTGAAATACCTGTTTAAGGTTAATTAGTATATAGGACACTTTTTCCCCTCCTCTCCTACATTGTACGACAGTGCCAGTTGCAGTGTTGACATTTGTGTAGTGCCAGCAAGCACCCTGTTTGAATTTTTGTATTATTTTAATAGTTTGCTAGTTTAATATGTGTACTTATTAGTAGAGTAGAGATACTGAGCTGACTATTCAATATCCCATCTGCTTAGGTTGCAGGACTGAGCTGAAACAAATGTTTGCATAGTCTGAGAGTAGCTAGTGAAGGAGAAATGTTACTGAAATTGTTCTTTCCTGAATGTGTAATTTTGCAAATGAAAAAGAATATATGATGACAATTCTGTTGTTTCTTCATCCCGTAATAAAACTGAGTGAATGAATTGCTGTCCCTGAATGCCTTGCTGTGAAAAGAAGTGTGAAAGATCAATTTAACTCTGCAGTAGGCTATGTGCTTGATTTTAGCTTTGCGGGAAGTATGAACACAGCCACTGTAATTTGAAATCTATGCAATCTTAACTGCTATGGTTGGTTCAACAAATCATTATTAAAATACAGTAAAGCATAACTTACTGCAGTTTAGCTTGGAACAAAGGCAGGTAAGGAGTAAGATGATAAAGATATGTATGGTATAAAGAGAAGTTTTCCTCCCTCTTTTATAATTCAGAACCAGTCAAAACTAAATTCTGGGAGAGTCAGGACAAAATAAAATCAACTTTCTAAGACAAGGAACACCAAACTTAAGATCTAATGAGAGATCTGACAAAACCTCTTTGTATATGGATATAGTGTTTGTGTAGTTAGTATTTCAGTCAGTCTTCAGGCTGGGATTTAGTACAAAGACAGCCATGGTTGTGCTTTTATATGACCTGTGGTGAAGCTGGGATGGAAGTGGTGCATCCATCCTTGTGCTCCTTATCTCTCAGAAGCTTTCAATACCATCGACAACAGTATCCTTCTGAACCTGGTCCAGGAGGTAGGAATGGGGGGCACTGTTTTACAATGGTTCTTTTCCTTCCTTCTGAGCCAGTTCCAGTCGACGTTGGTGGGGTGCTACAGAGTTTGACTCTCACTCCCATTCTATTCAACATTTCATTTCTCTTAAGCTTTTTCAGGTCAAGAATTCGTCTTCAACCTTAGCAAGCAATATAGCATTCACTTTGTTTTTGTTGTTGTTTTTAGCAAATATGTGCTTATTTGTAATTGTAGCTAAAA